TACCTTGAGTATCCGTTTCGGAGAAGGTGATCGGAATGTCGACCTCTGGCCTTTTCTGAAAGTCGCGTTTCTTGCTCGCGAGTTTCTCGAAACGCTTAACGGATTGAACGGAGTCGGCGCCGGACACGAGCCCTCCTATGATCATGTTGATCCGGTGCTTTGAGCTCGGAGGTGTGTTGCTGTTGTTCCCCCGATCCTCATGCCCTCGTTTTGGGGCGTCGGTCACGTTTCCATCCTGGGTGGACTTTCTGCTCGTGCCGTCCCTTTGGTTCCGTTGCGCTGGTCCGTCCAGAGAGATTTCTCCCCGCTGAAACTTAGCCAACAAGTTTTGTTGGAGGTGCCTGCACTCCACGGTCGTGTGACCNTGCATTTGGTGGTACTCGCAGTAGGCTTTCGAGCTCTCGGGCTCCTTTTCCTCCTCGCGCTTGTACTGTGCCCACTTTTTGAGTGGGTTGTCCGAGCTGCTAACTTGGTTGACGACAGGTTGCTTCCTGTTTCTCTCTTCCTTATAATCCCTGTCGAAGTGTTGTCGGTGTTCACGTCGATCATCTTCCCTGGGCTTCTCCTTTTGGGGAAAAGGCTTTGCCGAGTGCTTCNTCAGANTCACCNCCCGATCCTCNTNGAGGTTTACGAACCGTGTTGCTCGATGGAGTGCGTCGGTCAGGTTATCGGGCTCATTGATCGTCAGGTCATCCCGGAACGTCGACGTGTGCCACAAGCCCTGCTTCAAGGCTGCCAGCGGGGAGGAGTCGTCCGTGCTCGTCGGAACCTTCGACAGGACGGCTTTGAATCGCCCCATGTAGGCTCGGAGCGACTCGTTCCGATCTTGAGTCAAGGACCAGAGGTCGGCTTGCGATGCTCCGGCCTGGATGTACATTGAGTAATGCTTCAAGAACGCNGTGGAGAGTTCATGGAAGTTGTTGATTGAGCTCGGACGTAGCCGCGAGAACCATGTCAACGCGGTTCNGCCAAGATTNTNGACGAACAGNTGGCAGTACCCCGCATNTTTTTCTTCCGGAGAGAACTGAGATCGGCCCATGGCTATCGAGAAGGCCGTCAGGTGGTTGATCGGGTCGGCGTTCCCCTCGTACGTGGGAATCTTGAGTTTGGTTGTACCCCGGATCGGAACTGACGAGATGCGAGTCATGAAGGGGTTACGCTGCGCTTCTTCCAAAACGCGGTCGAGCTCGGGTGCCGAACTGATTGCCCGATGGACCTTAGAGTTAATGTCCCTTAGCCGGGCCTTCATTCCTTCGATCTACCCGGGGTTGCATCCTTCGTTCTTCGGCTGAGGTCGAGTCGCGGTGTTGGGGGCTTGGACGAGCGGCTCTCGAGCTGCTAGGGTTAGCCAGTGTCGGATCGATTGTTAGGTGGTCCAGTCGTCCGGTCGTTTCGACTCTGGTTCGACGCTCTGGGGTCGGAGATGAACTTCGTCGGGGCTGTGGTGAATTTTGATTCGACCTTGGTTGACGC